GTTTCCCCCACTTTCTTCAGTTTAAGTCTGAATTTGCCAATAAGGAGTTTATGATCTGAGCCACAGTCAGCTACCAGTCTTGTTTTTGCTGACTGTATAAAGCTTCTACATCTTGGGCTGCAAAGAATATAATCAATCTGATTTTGGTGTTGGCCATGTGGTGATGTCCATGTTTATTCTCTTGTGTTGTTGGAAGAGGGTGTTTGTTATTACCAGTGCATTCTCTTGGCAAAACTCTGTTAGCCTTTGCCCTACTTCATTCTATATTCCAAGGCCAAAGTTGCCTGTTACTCCAGGTGTTTCTTGACTTCCTACTTTTGCATTCCAGTCCCCTATAATGAAATGGGGAAGATCATAGCCTTGACTATATGGACCTTTGTTGGCAGAGTAATGTCTCTGCTTTTTAGCACACTGTCTAGGTTTGTCATCGCTTTCCCACCAAGAGACAATCGTCTCTGATTTCATGGCTGCAGTCACCGTCCATAGTGATTTTGGAACCAAGAAGATGAAATATGTCAGTACTTGCACCTTTTCCCCTTCTATTTGCCATGCAGTAATGAGGCTATATGCCCTGTTAGTTTTTTAATATTTAGTCTTAAGCCGGCTTTTCCACTCTCCTCCTTCACCCTCATCAAGAGGCTATTTAGTTCCTCTTGATTTTCTCCCGTTAGAGTATCATTCGCATATCTGAGGTTGTTGATGTTTCTTCTGCCTATCTTGATCCCAGTTTGTAACTTATGCAACCCAGAATTTCTCATGATGTGCTCAGAATATAGGTTACACAGACAGGGTGACAGCAGGCATCCCTGTCACACTCCTTTCTCAATCTTGAACCTGTATGCGGGTCAAGAAGCAACAGTTAAAACCCTGTATGGAACAATTGATTGCTTTAAGATCGAGAGAGTGGAATAAGTCAGAAAAAGACAAATACTATATATTAACACTTATATGTGAAATCTAATAAATAAAACAAATTAATATTACAAAACAGAAGCGGACTTACAGATATAGAGAACAAACCAGTGGTTACCAATGGAGAGAGAGAGACGGAGTGGGGCAAAATAGAGGTAGCACATTAAGAGATAGGGAAATACGGCTATTATTTTACAATAACTTTAGATGGAGGACAATCTATAAAAATACTGTATCAGTATATAATATTGTTAATCAACTGTACTTCAACAGATAAATATAAATAAAGTATTGCTTTATTTAAAATCAGAATTTGATATTCCATCTGACCTCGGCTAGCTTTTTAGAAGTATCTGGGATTAGGAGTGGAGAAGGGGGTTGGGTGTAATGGACTTTCACCTTGGGAGGTATAAGACAGACTGAGCCTTTGTGGGTGAAGAGTGTGGATTTCAGCTAAAGGATATGAAAGAAGTTGTTGAAAGATAAGCTGAGGCATACTAAAATTTTTCAGAGTTTAAGCAAATCAATTCTGGGGGGCAGTGCCAAGCTGAAAGTGGTTAGGAACACTACTAATATGAGACAGGGGAAAGATTGAGAAAGAAAGTACAGAAGCAGAGAAAGGAAATTATTTGATTGGCTATAGTTTAAAGCTTAATTGGCTGTTGTAATTGGTTATCCTTGGTATTTTGATTTTGTAACATTGAGGCATTTATAGGTTTAGGTTTTGGTTTGCTTTCTTGGGCCACGATGGCATTAGGGATTCATCAGTTGAATGGCCTCCTTTTTTAACAGATTTCAGAGCTGGGAAAATGCAGCTTTAGTTTGACCTCAGAATAGAGTAATGAGAAGACACTGTAGGAGATAATGCTAGGATTTGCAAGGCAGATCATGTTCCTCCTTTGCTTATGGCTTCTCATTTTGTTTAGAGGAAAAGCCGAAGTCCCTGTAAGGGCCTACAAGCTACTTCACAATCTTCCGCCTCCTCCAATTCCCACTGTTCTTCTTGCTCCATTTTCTGTAGCCATGTTTCTCTCCCATTATTTCTTCTTCAGGCCAAGAGTGCTACCTTAGCATGTCTGCTTCCTCTGCCTGGAGCCCTCTTCTCCAGGTGACTGCATGCCTTCACTTCTTCACTTCTTTCTGGTCAACTTTATGAGAGAGGCCTGTCCTGACTTCTAGTGCCTCCCCTTCCCATTCTTCCGAGTACTTAGAAGGTACACATATAGAATCGCTAACATACTGTGTATGTTTGCTTGTGAATTGTTAACCTTATCTTCAGCCATTAGAGTGCATGTTCTCTGAGGATGAGGACCTCACTGCTGTATCCCCACCAGTGCCAGGACTTGTGCCTGGCATGTAGCTCATACTCAAGCATTTATTAGACAAAAAAGAAAAGTGAGAGCAGGACAGTGAGTGTGAGGGAGGGAAAGAGTTAGACATGGATCCTATGTGGTTTTGAATACCAGGCAGGGGAATAAAACTTTAATTCATTAGTTGTATGTGTGTTAGTTGCTCAGTCATGTTCTACTCTTTGCGACCCCATGGACTGGAGCCTGTCAGGCTCCTCTGTGCATGGGATTCTCCAGGCAAGAATACTGGAGTGGGTTGTCATTCTCTTCTCCAGGGGATCTTCCCAACCCAGGGATCAAACCCTAGTCTCCCACATTGCAGGCAGATTCTTTACCATCTGAGCCACCAGGGAAGCAAAACTGGGTTAACAGTTAAAAGGTTCAAACAAGGGAGTGACAGCAAGAACATTTAGTTTAGGAAGATTAGTTTGTTAATAATGTTTAGGATGGATTTTAAAAAATTCACGTCAACCCCCATTCCATCCCCAAGTCAGCATTATGTAACAAAGCTGTGTGCTCTTTAAAAAAAAAGGAATAATTCGACTCTCAAGAAACTGCTAAACTAGTTGCCAAAATGGCTAAAAGCATGTTCCCTTCCTGTACTTCTTCCCCTAGTTTCCCTAGTTTGGCCCAGTAATGTATATTACTGCAATACATTGTCAAATCCTGGAACATGACCTTGGTATAATACTATTAAAGCAGATACTGGCCTTAACAGTTGGATTTCGTCCGATTTTACATGAACATCTGCGAGTGCACGAACACACCTGCAGAGTTCTGTGAAATTCTGTCTCTTGTAGACATGTGCTTTGTAATGTTTCTAAATCTAATTTTGAGGTTTTCATTAGTGTTAGAAATGATCTCAGATACCACTCTCCAGATTTTTGCCCCCCCCCACATTTACATATGAATAAGGTGAATGGCCTGCTCTATTCCTTTATTCTTCTTGTTGCCTTTCCCTTCCACACTAGAAATGCTTTTCAAATTTTGCCTCCCTAGTATTATAAGAACTTCCCTGGTGGCTCAGATGGTGAATCGTCTGCCTATAATGTGGGAGACCTGGGTTCGATCCCTGGGTTGGGAAGATCCTCTGGAGAAGGAAATGGCAACCCACTCCAGTACTCTTGCCTGGAAAATCCCATGGATGGAGGAGCATGCTAGGCTACATACAGTTCATGGGGTCACAAAGAGTTGGACACGACTGAGCAACTTCACTTAAGTATTTTAAGTCATATTACTCACCAGGTCTTTTCTTAATTTTAAAACTAGTACATAACCTTATTTTTTTCTGTTGATCATTGACCTACTTAACAACCCTTCATATCTTTTCTGACCATAAAATCAGTGGTAGAAGAATCCGCCTGCCAGTACAGGAGACACAGTTCAATCCATGTGTCAGGAACATCCCCTGGAGAAGGAAATGATAATCCACTCCTAGAAAATCCCATGGATAGAGGAGCCTGGCCGGCTACAGTCCATGGGATTGCAAAAGAGTCTGACATGACTTAGCGACTAAACAACAACAGAACATATTTCTACAGGAATGTTAACAGGGTTCTAAAGTTTTTTCCTTTGCCTACCCTGCCCTGCTTGTGAGAAACACGCTCACCAGCCCAAACCCAAAGAATGGAAGTGAGGCTTTAATGATTGTCTTGCAAGATCTCGTATCTGATGGGCAGGTATACCTAGAGTTATTACAGGGAGGATCTTATCCCTAGAATGCAAGTCCCTCCCCCAGTTCCCCTTTGGCTGAGTACCAAGGGGTAAACGGTCTTCCTGGATGTCACCTAGGTTTGTTCCCTCCCTCCTTATGATCTCCTCCCACCACCCCGCTACACCTTATTTCCTCCTTTTCTGTGTACCTATTTCAGTTCTTAGGTTTTGAATTCACCAGTAGGCTGAACCTGCACGAAAATCCTAGGCATCTCACTCTCTCTTTGTTTGCCCAGACTTTCTAGTTTTGTATCAGCTATTGGCTATTACATCAGCAAGCTGTCACTCAAAGCTAGATGTTCTTGAAAACGGACCATTTTGGTTTTTTATTTCTTACACTACTAATTAGGAATATATTTCTGGTAAATAATTTACTAGTAATTTTAGAATCAGCAGGGGTAGTGGGTTGGAAGGAGATGAACTGAATTGTTAAAATCCTTTATTCATCCTTTAAAAATCACACTTCTGATGTCTTTAGATAATTTGCTAGCCATATTATTTTACTAAAAGCCTACTCCATTAGTTTCTATATGTTGTAGGAAGTATTTGTCTTTATGTTACTTACAGACTTTCTAAAACAAAATGCTTAAGTTAAAATTTTATAATTTAATTTCTGCAGCTGTGTTCGGTATATGCTATATATATTTATATATGGGCTTCCCAGGTAGCTCAGTGGTAAACAGTCCACCTGCCTATGCAGGAGACTCAGGAGACAGGAGATCCATCCCTGGGTCAAGAAGATCCTTTGGAGAAAGAAATGGCAACTCATTCCAATACTCTTGCCTGGGAAATCCCGTGGACAGAGGAGACTGGCAGGCTACAGTCAGACATGACTGAGCTCGTGCACACACACACACATTTATATATGTTCTATATGAGATACATACATACCTGCTAATATGCTGCTGATACTTAAGGTGGTAGTTGACTGTATTGAGTAGCATTCTAGATTAATATGCAGTGCTGTGTGTGACAACTGAAGAAAAACCACAGTCTATCTGAACATACTTGTTATATTTCTTACAGGTTCTGAGTTCTGTACGCACAGAATGGGACCCACTGGATGTTCGCTTTGACACCAGACATCCTAATCAGATGTTGACAGTGGAGTGCTCCATCAGTGTAGACAGAGAGCCCGCGGCTGACAGCTGCGTCTATGAATGTGTTCGGAACAAAATCCAGTGTGTATCAGTCACCAGAATACCACTAAAATCAAAGGCCATTAGTTGTTGCAGGAATGCTACTGACGACAAACTGATCCTGGGCTGTGAAGATTCTTCAGTAATTCTTTATGAAACTCACCGTAGAGTGACTCTCTTAGCTCAGGCTGAACTTCTGCCTTCATTAATAAGCTGCCACCCAAGTGGGGCCATTCTGCTAGTTGGCAGTAACCAAGGGGAGCTGCAAATATTTGATATGGCTCTTTCTCCTATTAACATCCAGCTTTTGGCTGAAGACAACTCACCTAGGGAGACTCTACAATTCAAAAAATTCTTTGATGTTTCTAGCAGTCTTGTTCAAATGCAGTGGATAGCGCCTCAGGTTGTTTCTAAGAAGCCTGAAAGTGGGGACATCTATAATCTCCTCTTCCTCAGGTTTGACAGAGGACCTTTGGGTGTACTTCTGTTTAAACTTGGTAAGTCAAGGAAGTTGGTGAGTAAATAAATTTTTTTATGATGACAGTATAATTAAGACAGTAAAACTATTCCTGGAATGCAGATTTTTTTTGTTTCTCATCCCATCAATATGCTTACATTTTAAACATTTCATGTAGTTTCTTTAAGAAAGTTTTGTGGATGATTTTCTAAAGTGTCAAGGTCCATTATATATTCAAAAATTTTGAAATTGCATTAATTTTCCATCACATAAATAAAAAGCCTGAGCTGTCCATATATGACGCTTTCCAAAATAATCTACTAAAAAAACTCCTTAAGAAATAGTACATATGAAAATATTTTAAAAGTACTTACTATATCCATTGTAAAATTCTGTGTGTAGGGATATAATACTTTTTCTATTAAGTTATTTTAGATGAGTGTTCATTTCTTTCCAGATTGAAAATGTGTAAAACAAATGTTTTAAAAGAAGAGGAAGGAAAATGCTTGGTTAGAATTTGCTAAAGATATTTTTGTAACTTTATGTTTTTCTTTTAGATAAAAATATTCAAAAAATTATTTCAATATTAGGAAAATTATGTATTAATGTATACTATTTCAACCAGGAGGCTTTAAAGCAGAATTTTATTTGCCTTCTAAAGGTTGGTATTACCAGCTATGTCCTAAAATATATGATATTTTTTAGGCAGTTTTGATAATTTAACATTCTTGAGAGGAACTCACTTAGGTTTAAAAAAAAATATTTCAATTAGTGCACATTATTGCAACCTGAAAACATAGAAAAGTAGATACATTTCAAAACCCCTTATAGGATTTGGTTCTGTGGTACAAAGTTGTTTTTAAAAACATTGTAGTGTTTTGTTAAATAACAGTCAGTTTACTTTTTATTTTTAATGGATCTACTTGCCTCTGAAATAGAACGAATGAAATAAGTCTAATGAAAATGACTTAACTTGAAAGCTATCAGGGATATAAGTGAGGGCTATGTTCTTTTCACATGAAAAAAAAAGAACCTCAATCCATTCATAACATTAGTATTATCTAAGAAAAATATGTTTGGAATCTCATCTATTATGAGATAATCCAGTTCTACTTTGCCTAGCTTACACGTGTAATAGTAGTATGTCTCCACACACAACACTTATTAAAGTGGCTGTTAGATGTTCTGCGTATCTGTTGGAACTCTCTGCCTCTCTCTGTCTATCCCAGTTACCTGTCAAACAAGAAGGCAGTCTACTAACTATACCTAGCTTTTCTTCAGCCCTCCCTTGTGGGCCTGCTCACAACAGCTTTGCAAAAAGCACAGCTTTCTCTTCCTATCTCTAGCACATTTGCCTTCTTACTAAAGTAAACAGGCTCTCAGTGTAGGGATTTAGAGGGCTTCCTGCTAATTGCCAGCTTGTAAACTTAATTGGACTATCTCCCTGGGCACTGTTCCTAAATCAATTAGGCAATGAGTTGGCTGTCACCTCTTTTTCCCAAGTAGGTCTCTTGGAAGAGAATTAGCCAATAGAAGTCAAGCATTCAAATGAAAAGGTGATAACTTCTGCAACTGACATTTATCATTTAAATTTTATTTTCATTATGACTTATACAATTTATAGAATAGGGAAATTTTATAGTCTTACAGGGTCTTTAAAAGAACAAAACATGGAGTTTCCCAGGATTTTTGAAAATGTATTATAAGATTAGTGTTTATTATATATTATTTTTCCTAGGAAGAGTAGATTCCTTGAAACAGTATATTCCAGCTAACAGATCTTTTTCTTTTTTTTTTTTTTTTTTTAAAGAAAACCCTGTTTAAAGAACAGATTTTTCTTAGGATCTGCTACTAAATACATCCAGAAATTTTAATATACTTCTTGAATTAACACAGTGCTGATTCTGGGCATCCATGTGGAATTTTCATGTATAATTCAAGTTACTGCATATATAAACAGGTAGTTTCATGTGCAGTTTCCCCACTAGGGAGCATTTATGAGATGTTTTTCATATGCTTGTTATGCAAGCCTTTGGAAATTTTGACATGAAAGGTGTAGCGTACAATTTAAGAAGCTGAGATAGATCATAGTTTAAAATAGAATGCTGTCATATGTAAACGTGTCAGTGGCTGCTGCCAATATGCTAAGATTTTTGGAGTCTGACTCTTAGAATAGGTCAGTTAGTGTAATGTTGAAGGAAAACTCTGTTGAAGGCTAGAGCTTCCACTCTAAATCCTTATAATTATCACACAGATGCCACTGGAGGTTAAAAGGCCATCACCACAGTTACTATAAGAATGTGAAAAACTAACATGTCTTCCTCAGGAGGGAGCAAGACGTGTCATCCTCCTAGGTAGAGGCAGTGTGTAATCAGAATTTCTTTACCTAACAATCATTATTCATATTTCCATATATGTAAACTGGGAATAATTTTAAAAAGAGGAGTTCCTAGTTTGTATTTCTGAGATATTAAAGCTTTTCCATTCTCATCATCACCTTTTCCAGCCTTCACTGCTCTCTCATGTGATCAGCTTCTTGCCCTTTCAACAGAGACTCTCCCCTTTTAATAGGGTACTTCATTAACTTTTTGCTCCTCACCACCCACCCAACCACTTACCTCCATGTACATAAATCTTTTCGGTTTCAATTCAGTGGGATAGGAACCTTCCTCTTACCTAAGACTAGTTCCATGCCGGATCCCACAGCATTCCCCTTGACACCTTGACTCTGTCACCTTCCCTGCTCTCCCCATGAATCTTGCTACATCAGCAGTCTCGGGCCCAAGCCACACCATGAAACAAAGCAACATACATACATCTGTTCCTTAAAATTGTTTCCCCTCTGTTATTAATCAAATGTTCACTGTCCTTTCACAGTCAAGCTCTTAATAAAATAGGGAACACTGAATTTCTCTGCTTCTTCGTCTCCCATTCCCCCTCACAGCACCACCTTCTGGCTCTTCTCTTCAATGATTGTTCTCCTGGAACTGCTCTTGGAAAGGTCATCAGTGACTTCCTACTTGATACACATATTTCTCTTCAGTTACTTGATGACTTTAAAGCATTTGATGGCTCCTGACCACTTTACCATCAAATTCTCATTGTTCTTGCCTTCTGTGACTCTCGATGCAACTTTTTGGCACTTTTTATGCTCTTCTTCTGCCTCCTCATGAAAATATCCAGGCTCTCCAAGGTTCCATCTTTAGCTCCCCTCTCCCACTTTATGCAAAATGAGTTTATTTATTTATTATTTATTTTATTTTTAAAATTTATTTATTTTAATTGGAGGCTAATTACTTTACAGTATTGTAGTGGTTTTTGCCATACATTGACATGAATCCACCATGGGTGTACATGTGTTCCCCATCCTGAACCCCCCCTCCTACCTCCCTCCCCATCCCATCCCTCAGGGTCATCCAGTGCACCAGCCTTGATCACCCTGTCTCATGCATCAAACCAAGAGTTTATTTTTGATTTTGGTACCCTGTCTCTGACCTCAGCCCAGGCCACTGCTCTCCACCCCCACATGTTAACTGGGACTACAGGAAACCTACCCCCTGAGTCTACATGATTGCATCAGATTTATTATGTGCAGACTTAAAGTTGTCATCTTTCTCCCTGCTTCTCCTCCTGTATATTCCAGTTTAAGGGATGTTATAGTTATTTAGATGGACAGAATTCCAAGTTAGAAATCATCCTAGAATCCTCCCTCCTTCCTAACACCATATCCAGTCAGCAATGAAATGCCATCAGTTCTGCCTTCTGAGGTTTTGTTCAGTCACTCAGTCGTGTCTGACACTTTTGACCCCATGAACTTCAGCATGCCAGGCTTCTCTGTCCTTTACTACCTCCTGGAGTTTGCTCAAACTCATGTCCATTGAGTCAATGATGCCCTCTAACCATCTCATCCTTTGTTGCCCCCTTCTCCTCCTGCTCTCAATCTTTCCCAGCATCAGGGTCTTTTCCAACAAGTTGGATCTTCACATCAGGTGGCCAAAGTATTGGAGCTTCAGCATCAGTCCTTCTAGTGAATATTCTTGGTTGATTTCATTTAGGATTGACTTATTTGATCTCCTGGTTGTCCAAGTGACTCTCAAGAGTCTTTTCCAGCACCACAGTTCAAAAGCATCAATTCTTTGGTGTTCAACCTTCTTCATGGTCCAGCTGTCACATCCATATATGACTACGGGAAAAACCATAGCTTTGACTATATGGACCTTTGACCACAAAGTGATATCTCTGCTTTTTAATACAACGTTTACTTTGTCATAGATTTTCTTCCTAGGAGCAAGTGTCTTAATTTCATAGCTGTAGTCACTGTCCACAGTGATTTTGGAACCCAAAATGGGGTCACTGTTTCAATGGTTTCCCCATCTGTTTGGCATGAAGTGATGGAATTGGATGCCATGATCTCAGTTTTTTGAATGTTGAGTTTTAAGCCAGCTTTTTCACTCTCCTCTTTCACTTTCATCAAGAGACTCCTTAGTTCATCTTAGCTTTCTGCCATAAGGGTGGTGTCATCTGATTATCTGAGGTAGTTGATATTTCTCCTGGCAGTCTTGATTCCAGCTTGAGCTTAATCCAGCCCAGCATTTCTCATCATCTGCTCTGCATATATGTACTCTGTGAGGGGCTTCCCTCATAGCTCAGTTGGTAAAGAATCTGCCTGCAATTCAGGAGACCTGGGTTCAATTCCTGGGTTGGTAAGATCCCCTGGAGAAGGAAATGGCAATCCACTCCAATATTCTTGCCTGGAGAATCCCATGGACAGACGAGCCTACCAGGTTATAGTCCATGGGATTGCAATGAGTTGGACACGACTGAGCGACTAAACCAAACCACCACTCTGCATATAAGTTAAATAAGCAAGGTGACAGTATACAGCCTTGATGTACTCCTTTCCCAATTTTGAACCAGTTTGTTGTTCCATGTCTGGTTCTAAGTGTTGTTTCTTGACCTGCATACAGATTTCTCAGGAGGCAGGTAAGGTGGCCTGGTATTCCCATCTCTTTCAGAATCTTCCACAGTTTGTTGTGATCC